CCTGACATCAGGTTCTTAGTCGAAATTGAAGCAGGACATACATACTCTGTTCTCACCCTTAATGGCAAAGGCTGCACAAGCTGAGCCTGTCACAGGGGCCACACAGCACAAGAAAGAAAACAATGCCTGGCTCACAGTGGGCCTATATGGGCCTCTGGGACTGTGTAAAGTCAGGCTTCACTTCCTTAGGTGCATGGAGTAGACTCTATTGTTCTGTGTGGACACAATTGGCTAATCGTGTGTTTCCAGTCATACTTGGAATAAAGTAGCTTGTATAGACTGAAGACAGGTGAGAGTTAACGCCATTGGTCACTATCAGAATACTTTCATCAATAAAGAGCAAGGACCGCTAGAGGAAGGCCCGAGGAAGGAACATCTGAACATCATCTTGTGTCTGTGGTAAATTCTTTCTTTTGCTCATTCCTTCATCATTGAACACTGTGCTGCCCTTGAAGCTGAAAATGAGAATAAATGAGATCAGTCCTGCTTTGAGGTGCTGGCAGCATCCTGAGAGCCAGCACTGGCTGTTTTCTTGGAGCTTATGCAGACTCTCTCCCTCAAATCTAGAACCTCCAGTCATAGGCCTCATCTATGAATTTCTAAGTCAAAAAGATGGAGAAAACACGTTTTCTTGGTATAGTATCGTTTTCCTTTCCTAAGCTTGGCCATTACTGTTTGGCAACATAAAGAACCCACAGTGGTTTAAAATGGTAAAATGGGTAATTTTAAAGTAGAGGGTTTGAGATACCATCTTACTCCTGTCAGAATGGCCAAAATCAAAAACACCAATGACAGTTTATGCTGGAGAGGATGTGGAGAAAGGGTAACACTCCTCCACTGCTGGTGGATGTGCCAACTTGTACAGTCACATTGGAAATCAGTATGGCGACTCCTCAAGAAAATGGAAATCAGTCTACCACAAGATCCAGCAGCATATACCCAAAAGAAGCACGTTCATACAAGGACATCTGTTCAACCATGTTCATAGCAGCATTATCTGTAATAGCCAGAAACTGGAAGCAGCCTAGATGCCCCTCAGCCGAAGAATGGATAGAGAAAATGTGGTACATTTACACAATGGAGTACTACTCAGCAGAAAAAAACAATGGAATCTTGAAATTTGCAGGAAAATGGATGGAACTAGAAGAAACCATTCTGAACAAAGTAACCCAATCACAAAAAGACAAACATGGTATGTACTCACTCATATGCAGATTTTAGACATAGAGTAAAGACTTACCAGCCTACAATCCACACTGCCAGAGAAACTAGTAAACAAGGAGGACCCTAAGAGAGACATACATGGTCCCATGGAGAAGGGGAAAAGGACAAGATCTGAGCAAATTGGGAGCATGCGAAAAGGGGGGAGGGAGCTAGGAGAATGAGAAGGGAAGAAGAGGAAGGATGCAGAGCACATGAGGGAGCAGAAAGGTTGAGTCAGGGGAACAAGAATGGAGATACCATAATAGAGGGGGACATTTTAGGTTTACAGAGAAATCAGGCACTAGGGAAATGTCTGGAGATCTACAAAAATGACACCAGCTAACAATCTAAGCAACAGAGGAGAGGCTTCCTTAAATGCCCTACCCTGATAATGAGATTGATGACTGTCTTATATGCCATCCGATAGCCTTCATCCAGCAGCTGGTGGAAGTAGAAGCAGACACCCACAAATCAAATAATCACCAAAGTGAACTGGAATCCAGATGCAGAGAAGGATAAGTGAAGAGCAAAGGGGTCCAGACCAAGCTGCTGAAACCTACATAAACAGCTGACCTGAACATTGGGAAACTCTTGCTCCCCAGACTGATAGCTGAGAT